GAAACTGAATGTTATCCAGTATTTTTGCTTTGATTACTGAGGATAAGAAACTGCATATAGCGAATGTAGAGAAAACTGAGGTGCTGGTGGCTGCTAGAATGCACAAATATCTGCATACACACTCAGTAGGAATGTGTTCATAGCAAGATGGATAAAGTGACCAAGAGGAAATTAAATTGAAGATTTAAGTAAGTTAGGAGAAATTGGGAGGGTTGTGGGATTCTAATTTTATCTGCGCAAAACTGTGGGTATGGTGTTTTCTAGGGAGATTATATTCTAGGGAGATTACCTGAGGGGATTACATTGAATCTTTTTTGGAAAACAGATACTTATACTCTCAAGTTACAAATTTCTAAGTTTCATATATATACACATACACACAAACACACACACACACTTGGAAGCAGCATATTTTGTATACAATAAATAGATGTAAAGTGTTACCAAATCCAATGAAGAGCTTTTCAGGTGGTACATGATGGTGGATAGGAAAACCCTATTGATGTTCTAGTGTGCATTTATTATATCTATTAAGGAGTACTGCTGTCAGGCACATGTATCTGCCTCAGGGTCCTTATTGTGCAAACTTAATGCTATTCATACAAAGACTGTGGTATAGGTATGATATAATGTGGTGCTAAATCAGATTGCTCATTAAATGCCTGGTTGTTTGTTTTATGGGTGGGAATGGGTGATTTTGATTTGAGTTGTGAGTTGAGAAGTAAAAAGTTATTGTAGACCAGTAGGGTCCAAGAATAACCATAAAGAATATTTTTTCCTGGTGGGATGAATGGTGTTTAACATATACAGATGGGTCCTGGAAGCCATGGCATGCACAGGTGAGTATAGCTTTTCTATGTCCCAATGTTTAGGATTCAACTATCCAATTGAGTTTCAATAGCAATGGTGAGTGTGGTGGTTATGAAATATAATTTGTAACTTTTTTTGGGGGGGGGGAGATTCTGAAACACAATATTACCTTTCAAAGAAAAAGTTGGCTTTTAGTAACCTAAGGATGTGAGAGCCAGTGGGGCACTGGGCTTGTCCCACCTTGTCTTGGTTGCTGGCGATTGAGAAGAGGGGTATGGGATGCAAGTGCAATCTAGGAAAGGAAATATGGTAGCCGAATTCAGAATTACAGTTAATGGGTCTTTGAGTCTGTTAAACTTCTGTTAAATTCTAACTCACGTAGCATTTGCTAGTAATGAGATAGCAGATCAGACAGCCAAGGACACTTTGGGGTATAAAGACTTGACACTGTGTTGCCTTTGTCCTCTCTGAAAGTAAAATGTTGGGTCAAGCGGATGAGTGATGATCAAAAACTATGGAAAGCAGATCTCACAAGTGAGAGGTAATTTTCTTTGGGGAGATTTCTGGATATTTAACCAGCAGCTAAAGATGAAACAAGTGGGCCTGTTTAGGATTTTGGCATGGCACTGTACATTTCTGGAGTAATTTATTCAATGTCAGATAGATTGACACTTTTCTTGTGACATCTGTGAGTTGGAAGGAACAGTTGACCATGTGGTATGGGATTGCTTGAGATACAGGGGATGAGAAGAAGCCTCTCCTCTGGAAGCTGAATGGCTTGGGCATTATACATTAACCTTTAAGACTTTTGCAGGGGAGGGGGCAATATTTGAGGTCCAACGCTGTCAATTTTGTGGACATTCTTAGGTGGTACAGTACTACACTTTTTGTACAACTTTAACTGAGTATTATTATATTATAGCAAGAGTCTGGCAATAACAGGTACTCTCCTTTTTGCTATTAAAATCTGAGGAGGAGAGGGAGATTTCAAGTTGTTTTTTTGCTTCTACTGTCTTAAGTTTTGCACCCACCTTGTATTTGTATCTCTGGCAATGAATATGACACATCATTTGGAACTTGGAAGGATTAAAAAACAACAACAACCAACCAGCTAATTAGCACTGGACACATCACATTTTTCACCTTTCCCAGGGCCAAGGAGGCCTCCGTTGCACTTGGTTGCCTAATAATTCATCACAACTTGTCAGATGTGCTGGTGGTGGATGAAGAGCCAGGGAGCTGATTAAAAGGCAGGAAATATCACTTGTGGCATATAGAAGAAGTTAGGACAGCTAGCTGACCTGTTATTGCTTTGATAGTGGGGAAAATGTCAGACAGGTAGCATTGCTGGGTGGCTGTCATATACTCACAGAATGTTAGCAGACTTGTCAACAGGAGCAGCTCATCTCTGTGCCAGCCCCTGGAGGCCATTTTTGGTGGGACAGCCAGGACAGGGGCAAGAGCTCCATCAATGGCCTAAATTGTTTGGGCAAATCTTGTGTAATTAATACCTTGCCTATTAAATTCAATTAATAAAACTGTTTCCCATTACAATCCAATTAATTTATGTGTGTCTTTCAATGGTACTCACAAATCACTAGTAATTATACACCCAACATGGGTTTACCCAAGGCTTTTTATTTGGACTTGAGGAGATATCCTCAAGCACAAAACAAACATACATTGTAGCATGTACAAAAGGGAAAACCGGCTCCAAATGCAGCTGGTCTTTCAAAGGACAGCAAGAATTAGCCCTATAATTTACCACTTTAGAGAACTTTAAGCCATATCTGTAAACCATGTGCTGCAGCCTTCAAACCAGATGCAATGTGTAAAAATCTTGTAGTAATTATGAATGATCAAGTACAATAAATATTCCTTTGTTGCAATACTGCTGCTTCCCCACTTTGAGATTTTAAGGCAGAGCGGATCAATAAATTACCTAAATAAATAACATGTTAATACCATACTGACAAGTATCGGCCATACAAAACTTCTATCTTCCGCAAACAGCTTTGCTAATATTTCCATGTTAAGTATTTATGGGGAGAAACTTGTTTTCACTGTATTCTATGGGCACAACATACTTACTACAGGAGTCCCATCCAGCAAACAATTACACTAATATTCTATTCCCAATGTGAACCAATGCCTTGATTAGCATTGCAATCCTGAAGGCCATTTAATCGCAACTGCAAATTTTTCAAGCAAGTGCTCTCATTGTGATCAATACCAAACAAATGCAAGACTATCCTTCTGTTTACAACTCTATAATAAAATAATAGGAAACAAGCTGCCATTGCTGCCTACTTCACAACCTTATGTGAACAAGTGAATACAGTATAGGATTACAGTATCCATTTAGAATTGCAATCCTAGACACGTAATTGCTATCAAAAGTCCTGTTCAGTTCAGCAGAACTAAAACTACTATATTCAAAGTCGCCTCCGCTAGACTCATTTATTTATTATTTTATTTCATAAAAATTAGATGCTGCTAGATTGTTTTAAAAAAAAATCAAAAGAGTTTACAAAAAGAATAAAATTATCAATAAAAAGAGTTAAAAACATTCAAAAGAAAATAAAAGCAACAATAAGCTAAAAGCAAATTAAAACACTGGTCAACAATCTACATTTATGGGTAGGCCTATATAAACAATAGATGGGACGCGGGTGGCGCTGTGGGTAAAACCTCAGCGCCTAGGGCTTGCCGATCGCATGGTCGGCGGTTCGAATCCCCGCGGCGGGGTGAGCTCCCGTCTTTCGGTCCCAGCTCCTGCCCACCTAGCAGTTCGAAAGCACTCCTAAGTGCAAGTAGATAAATAGGTACCGCTTTCTAGCGGGAAGGTAAACGGCGTTTCCGTGTGCTGCGCTGGTGCAGGCTCGCCAGAGCAGCTTTGTCACGCTGGCCACATGACCCGGAAGTGTCTCCGGACAGCGCTGGCCCCCGGCCTCTTAAGTGAGATGGGCGCACAACCCTAGAGTCAGACACGACTGGCCCGTACGGGCAGGGGTACCTTTACTTTACCATTATATAAAGAATAATGTTTTAGCAGGTGCTGAAGAGAGTATAGTGAAGGCAGCTGTCAATAGGAAGTGAGTTCCCAAGTGTGAGAGCCGACACACTAAAAGGCCGATTTCTTATAAATGCAGAACAAGTATTATGTGACACCTTTCCGGATCCAGTTTATCATGCATTTATTAATTTGTCAAACCTTGCGTTAAATCAGCTCTTTGTTGAGCCTCCATTCTGAAGGTCTGCAGGGAGGTGAGAGGGCACTGCTTCATGAATCATTGTTACGCGGTGCTACCTCCCCACTCACCCTATCACCTTTCTTTGCTATAAAAAGATCGATTTGGAGAGAGAGGCGGGGAGCAGGAAAGAGACAGCAGCTCCCTTTCATTCGAGTTCAATCGTGCAAGATGCGTTTGCCGCTACGTGACCGAATCCCATCCAAAAAAAAAACCCATGCAAGAAGCACCCCAAGTGACCAAACCGGGTTATGGCGATCCCCATCCACACACCACCCCTGTCAGCGTGTGCACCGTTCTCCAAAACCTGCCCTTCTTTTGATTTCCTGTTTGCGGAAGTCACGCTCTAGATAGGCGCGCGCGCACAAGACGCATTTGCACAGCCCCTAAATAAATGCAGCGGGACGACGACGACAGCCTGGGAAAATACATTAAAATTCCTGGAATTGGGCGGGCGGGGAGTGAGCATGTCCACACACTACTCATCTGCATTTTCAGACCAGCGCCTAAGAAATGGGAAGTGGGTGCGGGGTGGGGAACTGAAGCACCACATGAGGAGGGATATCGCCGCCCTTCTTTGCACTTTTGCTCCGTGACCCCGCCGCCGAGGGCAGCCCGAAAGCCACGCGCCCGAGCTCTCCACAAGCCCCGCGGCGGCGGCGGCGAGAGGAAGCGCGCACTGCGTAAGTCCCAGTTACTATTAGTATACCCGGCAGCAAGAGTGGAGGGGGAAAGGGAGAGGAGGGCGGCGCGCTACACACCCAGGAGGAGACCGTCCATGTCAAAGATGAGGTGAGTGACGGGCTGAGGCGACGTCGGAGGAGGAGGGCAAGCGGGCGAGGCCATAGCGCTGCAACAGCGACCCCCGCCAACAGCAGAGAGAGAAAGAGCGATAAAAGAGAGCGCCAGGGAAAGGGGGCGGAGCGCTGCGGCGAGGAGATGGGCGGCCGGAGAGGCTCTGAAGTGCGCGTGCGCCTCTGGCGGTTCCACTCGCGTCCCGCAGATGGTTGGGGAGGGAGCGGGGGACAAGGGAACGCCGAGCGGTGGTTTGCTGGCTTGCTGCGCATGCGTGCCTGCGCTGCCCGGCGGCTCTGCTTTTTCCGAGGCGAGGAGCTCAAGCGTCGCGGTGGCAATTTCAAGATGGGGAGGAACTGGAAAGGGCGTCCGGTTTCGCTGCGCGCGTGCGCACAGGATGGGGACGATTAGCATTTCGGCGGCCGCTGCTGCAAACGTGCCTTTGGGAGGCGAGACTGCGGGGGAGGGGATAGATAAATAAATGAATAAATGCTGCGCTGGAGGAGGGGGGCTTCGCCATCGACACACAATGCACAAATGCGTAATGCACGCCTCAAATGGAGTTGCGTCGTATAAGCCAGAAGCAGCCCAAGGAGACATAACAGGTCGACGCTAGGGCATGGATACAGGGAAGTAGTAAGCGGTGTTCTAGGTCCCACAGGTTTTAATCCCAAGTAAATGAATTTGGGAATGCAGCGCTAAGGTACAATAGCGTTGAACTTCGGGGTGTTTTCAGGTCAGCGTGAAGGCAGCGTGTTCCAAAAGTAGTATTGCGCCAAGGGTGAGAGCCGCGGCTAAGTGTGGGCAGGTGGAGCTCTCTAACCAGGAGTGCTAATGTGGTTTGAACTATGTGCTTTTCTTTGGGTGCAGAGTTGCTACCTAACAGTGCAATCCTATACATGTCAGTTTAACAGTAAAACCCAGGTCAGCAAGCTTAGGATTTCAATTTTGCATGTCAGAAATTAACGATAAAAGACTTCCAAGGTTGCAGTCCTAAATACACTTCTCAGGAACTGAGTTGAACACAGGGATGTGTCCTTAGGAGCAAACGTGCAATCTGCTCAAAAATAAAGTTGCCTGATTTCACACAGACAGCCAGCAGCTCCCTCCCCGCCCGCCCCCCCCCCCCCGCAGATGCTTCATTTCATTATCTCACTATCGTTTGAACCCCATCTCTGCCCCCAAGTAACTCAAGGCATTTATAAAGGGGTGTTTCATTTATCCACACAACAGCTAAATACTGAGATAGGTTGAAAGATTGTGAATTGAACTCTAAGGCTGCAGTCCTAAAAAACCTCATCAGTAAGTCTCTTCAGTGATGCTCCCTTCTGGATGAACTCTAAGCTACCCAGTGAGTTTTAGAGCTGATCAGGAACTTAAACCTTGGATTTGTACACACACACACACCCCAACACCACATCTGTCTTTACAGAAGGATGGTCTTTTATTTTGGGAGGCAGATTGTGTGGTGGATTGGGCAGCAGTTGTCAGCTTTTGGGGCCCTTGGGGCACCATTGCATACTAAAGAAACTGCCATGATGAACACTCCACCCCACTACAAACAAGGACACATTCTGCCTCCAATGGAATATTTATTTCAAGTCTGATTTTAGTGGTGGGAAAGGGACCCTGCAAGAAGCAGTGAAGACTTCTGTGGGTATTTGAGTGCCTGCAGGTACCTCACTGGCAACCCCTGGTTACTGTGTTAATTGTGATTACATTGTGATAATAAAATGGGTGGAACTCATGAGCTCCTTGGGTGGAACTCATGAGTGCATTTAAAGCACCATGATACCATTTAGCCATAGCTTTCCCCCCAAAAATATATGAACTCTAGTTTGTTAGGAGTGATGAGGGTTGTTAGGAGGCCTCCTGTTGCCCTCCCAGAACTACAAGTCCCACAATTTACTATGAAGAGGGATTGATGGTTAAACCACTCTGGGAATTGCAGGTCTTTTAGGGTCTCCTAACAACTCTCAGCATCCTTGACAAACAACAGCTCCCAGATTTACATCTATCAAGACTTTATGTGGTATGATAGTGCTTTAAATGTATGGCATGAATGTAGCAAAGGATTGGTTGAAAACGATGCAGGTAGAAAATTAAATGCATGTGAATGAATTCTCTACATGCAGTCGGTCCTTTTAGAAGGTGTCTTCTTTATAAAAATGCTTGGGAAAACAACTCCCTTCTGCATCATTCTGTTAAATAGAGACGGAATATAATAGGTTATAATGTAGCACCCTCTCCTTCACCAAAATATCTTATTGAGTGTTTGCTACATAATAATTATATGTTTTGGATCTTGGCTTTGATCCAGAGAACAAGGGACATATTTATGGGCAATTGCTGCCTCCAGGAAACAAAAAATCATGAGTGCCTGCTGTTGCATAGTAGTAACATTTATAGGTAACTACTAGCTTCATTTGTGGAACAGTCAAATTGGACTGTGGACTTTAACCGCCGTATTCTTCTTGCTTCCCTTTTTCAGAGGGAAATGTTTTAAAATGTGTTTGTTTTCCTCTGGAAGAATGCTAGTCATTGCTTTGAGTAGGGGCATGGCTTGCCACAGAGAGAGAAGGAGAGATTAAATTGGTTTCCACAAGTTCAGGTTGGCTGTGTGGGGCTGTTTTCACAGAAGAGGTAAGATAATTACATCAGTGAAGCTTCAAAGTGTGCCGTGTGCTGTTCTGTCATTTCAGATTCTGGACTTAATGGTCATACTGGGCAGGGAGTAGGATAGGGGAGTCTCTAAGTGGTAATGTATATTACTTTTTTGATCTTCAAAATGCTTTGTTTTGGGGCCCTCCTCATTCTGCTGAGTGGGGCCCAGGACATCTTCTATACAAGTCTTCCCTTGGTGGCACCACTGAAAGCATGTTTTGTATTTGCTGCTTTCACAGAAAACAGCCCTCAGGGTGAAGTAAATGCAGCTGCCCAGCAAATGAGCCCCAGACCTGGAGGTTATCGCTAGAAAATTCTTTTATGTCCAAGCAATCCCGAATATGTCATCTAGCTTTTATCAGAGCGATGCCTACAACTTGATAGTGTGGCACGAATACAGAAAACTTTTCCTTAGGATATAATGAGGCATGACCTGTTTCAATAACAGTTGTGGGAACATTCGGTGTAGGGAGAGAAGTAGAATAACATCTAATGAGCTATAGCTAATGAGCCATACCCCTTTACCTGTTGTGTGCTCAGTGAGATAGATGGACATGAGCTACAGAAATATAATCTTGTATTTATTCTCTATTGGCAGGTCACATCTGGAAACTCTTTATATTTTGCCCCATATGTGCAATGCTTTAGAAGTATCTTGCTTTAAAACATTTAAATTTTATGTCATCAGCTTTCAACATGTTATGTGCAACCCGATCCTATGCATGTTTACTTGGAAGTAAGTCCCACTGTGTTGAGTGGCATTTTCCTGCAGTAAGAGGATTGAAACCCTGCTTGGCATTTAGATACCACCTTTTAATGGCCAAAAAACCCACCAGCGAGGCAGTTTTGAAAGAAATGGAAGATTTTCTTTTAAATTTTTTTTTCCCAAGAAACGCTTCTAATAAAATCAAAATAATCAAGGGAGATAATTAAATCAGAGGACAAGGAGAAGAAAAACAACACCAGGAATAACATAATCTTCCATGCCTATGAATTTAGCTAAATAAAAATGTCTTGCAGTACAATATTATGTGTTCCTACTATGCCCAATGAGGCCATACACCTAGTTAAAATTACAGTCTGAATAAGCCTTCTAAAGATTCTAAGATACTAAACTTGGTAGACCCTACTAGAGAGACATTCCCTAGAAATTCTCATAGCTGTGGTTTCATCATAATAGGACATGGGTACACAACATGGTGCTCTCTAGTGGTTGGACTCAACTTGACTAGCATGATCAATTGACCAGCATAGTCAATGATGGGAGCTTTCTCTGCAGTACAACATGCGCTGAACGTGCATCTGTCTAACAGACGATAAAGACAATGAAGATGACACAGGGTGAAGGTGACATAAGGGAACAATGTCATCTTACACTATTTAATGGAGCAGAGATGCAGATTTATTTTGGAAGAGGTCCTCTTTAAGATTTTGATGATGATGATGATCGCAACACAAAAATACAAAATGAGAACACAAAATAGATGTGGGTATCCATCTGTCTCAAAAGACAAATGGAGTGTGCTTCTGGGGGCAAAGTCAAACCACTGGAGAATCACAGCACCCACCATGGCTGCAGAGACCCATAACTCATAACTGCTGCCTCCCATGTTGCTTTTGCTGCAGGGCAATGTGTATGGAGCTCCTGGACTGCCCAGATGACAATACCCTTTTCTGGCTTCACTGATGTGGTCCAAAGGAAAGCAGACCAATACATTTGGCACCAGGTTGGGTGAAGGAGTTGCCAGAAAGAGGCATACAAGACACCACCCACTCTTGTGTAGGGTTTACTCCTTGGCTTTTTCTTCTTCCAAGTATGCCCCACAAGGCAGTGGGTACAAATTTTTCCTTGGGTTTACTCCCAAAGCCTTTCTCATGAAAGACTATAGCCTCAAGGCAATGGAGGTTTAGAATCAGAGTTTTCCTTTTCCTGGGATGTTAGGATATTTCCGTTCCTCCTTAAAAAGGGAACAGGCTGTTGTGTGTCACAAGCGTGCGTACTTCCTGCTCACAGGGAGTTTCCGTTTTGTATATAGCTTTTGTCTCTGGCTGTCTCCTCGACATGAAGGCAAGCAGTCATGTTTTTCCTTTGTTCTGACCAACGTTGAATAAAGCTGTAAATATGCTCTTCTGGGTGCATCTTCTGTTGCGGAGTCTGCTGAAAAGGGCGTGCATGAGTCTTGGAATGTGTCTGAGGCTCGTGTTGCTAATTGACTGATGCTGTTCTACGGGAGATCGAGAGATCGTCTGGAGAAGATGTGTAGGCTGCATGATGGCCTTTGTCTCCCTGGCAGTATCCCAACATGGGCTACCTTCCCAGGTTTACAAGCCCCATCTGCTCCTCATTTCCCTTTACAGCACATGCATCAACTGCCTTCTTGACTGTTGGAGGCACTGTTAGTCTTCTACTGTCTTCACAGGCAGAGGAAGTTCTTAACTCACCGAGAGTTTGAGACTCATTGGCTATCCAGTCAAAGCCATTCCCAGGGTGTGGCTGCTGTCACATGCTGACAGCTTCTAGGAGCCAAAGGTGAGAACTGAGTGCATGTTGAGGAGCCAAAGGTGGATAAACTTTCAAGAACTTCTGTATGTACTGATGGGCCAACACAGGTTTTTGGGTGTGTAGAGGCAGTTTGGACCTGTGTTCAGTGTAACATGTGAACAAGCCTAGAATTATGGCATATCAAGTGGTAGTTTCCTCTTTGGAGCAGATCCAAAGCTCCTTAAGGAAGGCAAACGTCTGAGACTAGAGGCTTCCAGCACAAGCTGGACATTCTCTTTACCAAGTGCTCATACTTCAACAAATTACTATTGTGCACGACATAGGCTCTGCTGATGTTGCAAATGCTGATGGCTAACTACCATGGTCATTAAGATTATTAATTGAATATTGCCCCTTGTTAAAAGTGATCACAGTTAACCAAGCACTTAATGTGAAATATAAAACAATTTGTTTAAGCATCAAATATGATTGATGAATTTATCATCAATATCATGATGTAGCTATCTCTCTCATACCCAGAGCTGCTACAATAATGATTTGTTGTATAATTATTTCATAAATGTTAGACATGCCATTTAAACCAGTCCTTACCAGAAGCTGTAACAAATTAGTGTTGTGTTTAACAACTATATTTGACAGCTTTCTTTCACATTCTAACATAATAGTTTTCAATAGAACATTTTAGCCTAACAACTTTGCCCTTGTCTGGAGCAGAAACAAATTAGCTTAATGTAATTTTCAAAAGATGAATTAAATAGCAAGATGTTCAACATTAATATTGATATATGTTCTAATGAAGTAGGAAGACCAACATCCCGAGGCCAACTTCCTGTATTATGATTATCCTTTCTTATATTGTGAACTGCTTAGAAAATAGGAAAATGAGATATTTTGAAAAGGAAATTTCAAACCTAAAAACAGGCTCTTCTATCAGTGTTACCAGACATTTTCTGGCAGACATCCTATTCCTTCAGAAGCTATATAACCAACAAAAACATCATGCTTTCCCAGTTACTGTCTATCCATGCTAGAGAATGTTTTACACATCAAATCTATGTCTCTCATACTGTCGTTAAAGATATTTCCTTGTCAGAAATTGTTACTGATGCATGTGATCTGTCAACAGCAGCAGCAGTAAAATCTTAGTGGTTCATTTTAGGCAGGAGGTAGACGTTGTTTGAGAAGAGGCATCACCTCCTATAATTTACAATGCACAATTGTTTTGTCCAGCTGTTGACTTTGGTTAAAAATACTTTTTTCAGGATTTTGTCACAATTCAAAAACTGTTTACCAGAGTAAAGGTGGTTTGAATACATCTGCCAGATTAAGATGAATGTATTGCCGAAAATGTTGTTTTTATTTCAACCAATCCCAGTGATAAGTAACACGAATTGTTTTAAGGATTGGCAGAGAGACATTTCAAGATTTATCTAGAGAGGCAAGAAGCCAAGAATAAAATATAAGTTATTAACGGATCTTAAAGAAAGAGGAGGCTTCTCGCTACCAGATATAAAACTATACTATGAAGCCTCTTGTCTGTGCTGGGTACGGGATTGGATAACATTGAAGAATGTAGATTTACTAGATTTAGAAGGACATGACAATAGATTTGGATGGCATGCATATCTGTGGTATCAGAAGGCCGAGGTACACAGAAGCTTCCAGAATCATATAATAAGAAAGACAATCTTTAAAGTTTGGGGAAAATATAAATATCTACTAGAACAAAAAACACCATTGTGGCTTTCGCCACTGGAAGCAATAGCATTGAAAAAAGTAAATATGAAACCCAACTGGGGAACATATAGAGAGCTGTTAATGGAAATGGATAATAAATTAAAATTAAAACAATATAATGAAATAAAAGAAGAGGTAACAGTTTGGTTACAATATTTTCAATTATGTGAAACATTTAAAAATTATAAAAAGAAAGGATTTGCATATGAAATCTCAAAATTTCAGAGGGAAATAATAGAAAGTGATTATAAATTATTATAAAAAATGTATAATATACTGTTGGAATGGGAGACAAAGGATGAAGAGGTCAAATGTGTAATGATAAAGTGGGCAAAAGATGTGGGACACAATATACAGCTGACAGACAGATTGTGGAGAAATGATATAGTATTCACAGCATGTACAGCACTCAAGGAGAACTATATGAAAATGATGTATAGATGGTATTTAACACCAGCTAAACTATCAATAATGTACGAAACAAAAGATGCTGGAAGTGTAAAGAGGTAGAAGGTACATTTTACCATATGTGGTGGCAATGTAAGGTCATAAAAAGCCTTTCAGAAATGATTTATAATGAATTGGGAAAAAAATGTTTAAAATAACCTTTGTTAAAAAACCAGAAGCGTTTTTAATAGGTATAATTGGAACAGATATACCGAAATAATATAAAGCTTTATTTATGTATGCAACAACAGCCACATGGACATTGATAGCCCAACAATGGAAAGAAGAACAAGTCCCAACTAAGGAAGATTGGCAACGTAAATTAATGGAATATGCTGAAATGGCCAAATTAACTGGAAGACTAAGAAATCAAGAGGACAGCAAATATAAAATAGAATGGAGAATGTTTATTGCATATTTACAAAAGCATTGTAAAGAAGTTAACACAGTAGCAGGTTTCTTAAAATCACTTGTAATACTAAGTACAATGTTTGAATTTGGAAATATTTAAAGGTAAGAAAATTATAGACATGTATAACACAAAAGAACTGGGGAAGGGAATGGAGGGAAGTCAAGGGATCAGAGGAATCCCAAAATATGGATTTAATATGGTATGTAAATGCCTTATTTTTAATTTTTATTGCATTTGTTTATTAATGTATGTGAAGATAATGTTTGATTGTGAAATATATATATATATATATTAAAAATGAATAGATCTGCCAGAAGCAGCAATCTATGTTTCATATTGTCTTCAACCATTGGCTGTGGCAGCACAGGAACTCTCTGTCTCCTGCCCAACATGATGACCAAATTGTCATGCTGATGGTTTGTTTTGAATTGTTCCAGGAAGAGTTCAGCTGCTGCCAGGACCATATAACACTGGTCCTAAAAGATCTACATTGGCTCCCAGTACGTTTCTGAACACAGTTCAAAGTGTCGGTGTTGACCTTTAAAGCCCTAAATGGCTTTGGCCTTGTATACCTGAAGGAGTGTCTTCACCCCCATCATTTAGCCCAGGCACTGAAGTCCAGTTCTAAGGGCCTTCTCGGTAGTTGCAACCGCCCTGTGGAACGCCCTCCCATCAGATGCCAAGGAGATAAAAGACATCTGAAGGCATCCCTGTATAGGGAAGTTTTTAATGTTTGATGATTTACTGTGTTTGATGTTTTAATTATTTGGATGCTTACTAGAGTGGCAGGGCAACCCAGTCAGATGGGTGGCATATAAAGAAATGATGATGATGATGAAAGGTCTATGATTATTTCATCATTTCACATGTTCAGTTTCCAACTCAGCCATATTTACTAGCCTTTTTCTTCTTCTCTCAAACCAGTTTTGGTAATCTTGCAACCGTGTTGTAAATATGAAATGAAATGAAATTTATTATGGTCCCAGACCAGATTCACATACTGTACTAAGCAAACATAAAACACAATAGAATTAAGTTTGAATTAACAATTGGATATGATAGTAAACAATACGAATATGACAGCCATTGGAAAAGGCTACCTGTTGCAAAGATGGGTTCAGAGTAATGGGCCAAAATCTTCATGGATTATTAAACTCATATTGGGAACAACCCAGTTCAGTCTTGTGGATCTGATGCTTCCTTCCACATGTGCAACCATCATGAAAGTGGCTAGGTGCAACACAGTCCATCAGAGGCTGCTCCATGAGGCAGGCATATCATCAGCTTTTCCTTACATACTTATGGTTTTATGACACCACTTGCACTTTCCCCCAAAGGTGATTATGCCATGGTATGGTGACACTGCCATACAGAAACACTTTATGAAACCAGGTTGCCAGCTGTGTACTATTACCTTGCTATGATTCTATGTGTCTTGCTATGATTCTATATGATCCCGAATGGGGTCATTATTTCTGTGAATCAGTCATAAATGAAGCTGTGGGGAGGTTTTATGTGATTCTGTGTTTTTGTTTTGTTTTTATATCTGGTATCCATAAGAACTAAGTTCAGGAATCCTGATTAGCCTTGAGCAGATGAGTTTCCTGCACTGCAGAGGTTTGGACTAGATGACTCTTGGGATCGCTTCCAACTCTACAATTTTATGTCAGAAAGGTGGCTTGGGGGGTGGGGAAGCAGGAAACCCATTTCTTTGCCTCCTTTCTTTATTTCTTTCAACTAGTAATGTTATGTGATGTAAACAATCCCCTTTATTATCCCGCTAACGCTGCCACCAAATGTGGAAGATTATAGCTACCATTATGTATTGCTTATTATGTTCAATACTATTTCTCCATTGCCACCATATATTTAAAATACCATCCAATAATAAACCTTAGTTCACTCACCGTGGGCTATGATTAACTGTGGTACAAAACACTACAGGCAGACCCAGCATAAAGCACAACAAAAATGTAAGTTGTATGTTATTATTGATTAACTGAGAATATAAGCAGATGGTTATGTTTAGCTAGGAAGGGTACTAATTGTTTTATCTGTATGCCATCTTTCCACCAAAGAACGGTGCTCAAAATGGCTTACAAAAGAGCAATAGTAAGACTAGAACATAATAGCCGCACACATAACATCATACAAAGATATTTCAGTAATATAAAGGTAACATTAGACCTCCAAGCAATAGCAAAAATAACAAAGGAGCTGGACAGTTTCATCTTCCATGCTCTCACCTCGGACACTGATTCTGGGCCAGAGGAGCTAGGATATGGAAGCAATTTTGCAGCTCCAAAGACAAAGTGTGGCTCATGACTGTCCTTCTGTGCATCACATTCCTCCAGTGAGGTTAGTCTCTTGCAATCTTCCTCCTCCTGCCTAGGGGGCACCCCATCTGTGGTGTTGTTCCATCACAGTCAGCTCAGCTCTTGAGAAACGCTGCATGTTGTCCTGTAGCTCCAAGTGTGACTAGGCAGGCCTCAAGTTGCTGTACCTTCTCTTCCAGTAAGACAACCAGCTTGCACTTGCTGCAAGTGTGCTGTTGCATGTTCTCCGGCAGAAAGACAAACATAGCATAGGTGTTGCAGGTCACTGGAGCAGCTCCCTCACCCTCCATGCCTCTTGGTCCTATACACTGTGAGACAGTACTCTGGACCTCCCTTAAACTCCTTCACTGTGAGTGGAAGGGGACCCTCTTCCCATCCTTTGGATCCCTTGGGAAATTCAACAAGCCTGTTGTACCTGAAACTGGGTGTGGAGAGTGCAGCTGAACTGGACACAGCTGTGGACAACCTAAGGAAGTACCATCCACCTTGGGCCTGCCCATAAAAAGCAAGTCTAGAGTGAGAACCTAAGGTGATAGCCACTGTTCTCATGAACTCTTCTTCTTGTGAGACTTTTGTGAGTGACCCAAGAGTATGTTGGACCCTGGGTGAGAACCTGCAGGCTGAGAGGGTGGGTGCATCAGAAGATAATGAATTGATATTTATAGACATTTAGTAACTTTGTACAGTCGTACCTTGGAAGTCGAACGGAATCCGTTCCGGAAGTCTGTTCAACTTCCAAAACCAAATTGTGGCTTATGATTGGCTGCAGGAAGCTCCTGCAGCCAATCAGAAGCTGTGGAAGCCCCATCAGACATTTGGGTTACAAAAGAACATTTGCAAACCGGAACAATCACTTCCGGGTTTGTGGCGTCCAGGAGCCAAAACGTCCGAGTTCCAGAGCGTTCAGGATCCAAGGTACGACTGTATTAATGTAACCTTTTTATATGTAACCACATATTTTTGTAATATTTTGTTTCAGTTGTCTGCTGTTCCTTCAATTTTCTATACACTGCTTAGAGCTATTTTAATTCATTAAGTAGTATAGAAGTTAAAATAGTCAATCAACCTTGCAGTTCCCAGCAGGTCAAGATAGTATACACAATTAACTGTATTCCAAAATGTGAATTTCTATGGGCAGGATTCACAAAATAATTCCCATCCATAGAAGCCCTGCTCAAAGATTTCACTTGTGCAGTGGGGCTCCCCCTGCATGCCCCCCCATTGGCCAGGGTCTGGGTGGGTGGGAGAACTCCCAGAAAAGTGTACAGGGAGAGAAAAGCAAGAGATCGTTCAGCCTGCAGTGGTGGAATTCTTGCCCATACATGCAGAAAGTATGCGCTTTTTTGAATGGCTTTTTAGCCTGAATTATAAAGGGCTTTTATAAAATAAAAACAACAATATTTTGCATTAAAATGTACTTATTGGAAATTTTCCCAAAGAAGAATTGAACAGAAGGTAAAATTTCAATGTGTGACTTCTCTTGTCACTCACTAACGTGAGGGGAAAACACATGTAATCTGGTACAATTCATGAGGTTAAAATCATTGGAGAAATGCCCCCTGTTTGGATTATTTCAAATGCCTGTCTGGCCAAGGTTAATTGCTGCATGACACAAATTCAGCAGGTGCAACTTGTAGGAGCAACAAATCTTACACTAGCTGAATTTTTGCCCAGCATGCTCTTCTTAAATTCATGAAGTCTCTGTAAAAGAAGAAAAGCTTGACAATCCTACCTTAAGGCTCTGAATAAAGTCACCATAAGTACTCGAGCACATAAGCAAAAGTAGGATACAGCTGTCAAGGTGAACACAGGAACTTTCAAGATAAAGCATTATTCCCTTTATCCATACCCCTCAGCTTCCAGCTGATAGTATTTTCCCATACCTGAAATTTCCATGAAAGTTCTTAGCTTCATGCTCAAAAGCAAATTTATATCACTATCCTGTAGGTGCAGGTGATGTCTCTCCACAGAAAAAGACAAGAAGTCTGGAGCTTACGGTGGAATCTAAGCTTTTGCCATATTTACTCCTAGGTGGACACAGGTGGCTCTATGGGAGTTGTAGCGCATCTCAGCTTCTGAATAAACTGGGAGAATTTTCAGCTTTCTGTACTGGAGTCTTATGTAAGATTTCCAAATCTGTTGGCGCTCGGGACAAAGGGAGGGGCGCAGATGTAGCACCGCCTGTATTTTATTTCCTCAGGGCCATCCTAAGTCCTGTGTAATGTAGACTCATTAAAACAACACTGTAATTAAAACAGGAGACGTAGATTGTGAGATCACGAAATGCATGTGTAAACAGATACATCTTCAAAAGCTGTTAGAGTATAACTACAGATGGGATCCCCCATATTTCAGCAGGGAACACATTCCATAACACCAGTTCCATGAGTGAAAAAGCCATTTGTGTCAGAACCTGATCAGAACCTTAGAATCAAAGTCTGAGACAAGAATTAAGCAGACAAGGCAACAATGAGTATTGTGAGAATTCAAAGAGAGGGCTCAGCTAAACTGAGGCAAGTATAGGCCACTGAGAGCAAGCTTCCTTTTTGGACTAGTGGTCCTAATGCTTTGCAGGGGGGACCACTTCTCTCGGTCTGTAGAAGCACCAGTCTTCACTATAATTCCTAACCAAAGCCACTGGTATAAAAAATATGGCTTATAGAATTTGTGCAAACATTGCATTTTGTTATTGATTACAGCTTTATTCTTATACTTAATTGTCTGGGAATAAGTCCTGTGGAACTCTGTTGTACTCAGCTTTGAATAGACAAGCATAAGATGTCTACAAAGCAAAAATGTATGATACAATTCATAACTGCTTTTATGTTTACAAACTATTCTTTCCTGCTTTCACTTAGTTCTAATCCTACAGGTAACTTGCAAATCCTAAATCAGATCAGATCAGATACAGTTTGGGAACAGGTTCCATGAAAGATCATGGATCCATCCTTTTGTAGGCCACCTAGATAATTGTATTTGTGGATAGTTATCCAAATTTAAATAAGAGTAATTATAGTAAAAGACTTCAGCTTGTGAAAAATCAGGTTTGGGATAATAAATAATATCTCTAGATTTTTGTTTTGTTTATTATTTTGAATTGGACATTAATAATAATAAAAACCCATAGAAAAATGTCTAGAACAAAAAACTACATTCCAGTAGTTCCATCTGTTGGGAAGTTTTCAAATTATCATCTCAGAAACTTCTCCTATACCCCATGGCAATTGGTATATGGAATGCCACAATTTCCCATATTGTCTCCAAAGCTATTTAGCATCTATATGAAACTGCTTGGAGAAATGTGTGGGATTCTGAAGTGTCATCAGTATGCTAATAACACCATGCTCTGTTAATCCTTTTCATCTAATCCAGGCATAGCAGCTGACATTATGAGCAGGTATTTGGAGTCAGTAATGAACTGGGTGAGAAAATAAACTGAAGCATAACTCAAACAAGACAGAGGTGTTGGTGGTAAGTAGTTCAACAGTTCTGGATTTTTGTTTTCACTTCTGGATGGGTTTTGCTCTTCCCTTTAAGGATTGGGTTTTGTAGTTTGGGAGTGCTTCTGGACCCTGCTCCATGTTGTTCAGGTGGCATCCGTGACCAGGTGTAATTTTAATCAGCTTTTGTTGATTCACCAGCTGTGTCCTCTTCTGGGAAAAGAAAATAGTCATCCATGCCTTAGTAACTCTAGGTTAGAATACAATAACATGCTTTCTGTGAGTCTGCCTTCAAAGCTTCTACAGTTCCCCACACCTGGTCCAGAATGTGGCAGCCAGGGTAGAACAGAGAGGAATCATTGCTTTGAACATATTGCAATAGTGCTCAAAGATCTGAATTGGGTATAAATTTGTTTCCAGGCACATTTCAATTGATGCCTACCCTAAGCAGAGTGGGCCCAGGTGCTTGAAGAATCACCATATAAATCTACTGGTGTGTTAAAGTTGTCACTGGAGGCCTTTAAAAAATATTCACCTGACATCAAAAGTGAGGGGGATAGCCAAAAGTGAGGGGGATAGTGATACAGCCTTCTCAGTGTCTGGATGGAAGTTACTTCCTAGAGATGTACCAAAGGCACCTCCTTTCTTTCCATCCAACAATAAGATAAGGTTGCGTGCCAAGGTCCTGTGCCCCGCAGTTCCCTATTGATTAATAACACAGAGACATGCGTATTTAGGTTAATGGGCTAAAACAGGCCACAACTTTATTGGTTACAGATGTGAGTGGTATGGCTTAGGCATTGGGTGAAGCCAGGCTATATCTTGACTCCTGCCCATCTGCAGAGAATTGAACTAAGGGTAAACGACCAGAAGGGTGAGCCCTATGACTTACATCAAAGGGGCACCCTGAAGGGGTTCCCATTGGGGTCGTGGCATGGCCCTAGCCCATGTCTGGGCTTTGGACAAGATCCAGACACTCAGATCCCTTTGACAGGATACCCTTATCGAGGAGGTTCAGGCAGAGGCTACAACCTCCCCTCCCTTAAACAAAGGCTTACCCAATGCCTAACCTTACAAAGTTGTGACGATTGCTAGGTAGGCGAAAACCAAATGGCCGGTGCCAATTAGCCAAGTGGAAAAATTCCTACCTGGAATTTGTTTTTGTTTTTGTTTTTTTGATACTGCTAAAATATGGGGGGAGGGGGAGGTTTCTGTTGCTGTATTGGATACCATTTGTGGCAAGGCAAAATACAAATGTTTTAAAGAAACAATTAAAACTTTGAACATGATAACTTTATTTTCCTTTTAATCATGTTTCTGGACTTTTTATTATTTAAGGAACAATGGAAACAGTTTGGAAAACTAGCATGTAAAAAAACAACAACTTAAGAATGTAGGAAGAGCTTCCTGGATCATGCAATGATCCTTCTAATCCAACACTCTGTTACAGTGGCCAACCAAAAGCCTATAAGAAGCTTAAAAGCAGGACCTAACTGTACTCATTTCAATGACTGGCATTCAGAGACGCATTGCCTCTGATATGTGCCCTGTAAAATTTCATTTTACATTAATTTTGTGGTGAAATTCAGTTTTGGCAGTTAGAATCTGAGGGTCGATTATTATTATTTTTGGTAAGTTACTTTTTAAGTTACCTTGGCTTGCCCTGGGACCTTATGGTGAAGGGCAACAAATAAAGAATAATTATTTCAAAGGTTTTCTAATGGTAACATGTGTCAAAGTGGAAATAATTCCCATGTTCCCTTCAAAAAGTCACATCATAAAAAGCATTGATCATCAAAGTAACTTTCCCAAATAAAAAGAGATTCTAACAGCCCATTCTTGTGCAGAATTATGCATACTCAAGTTGGTTGTTCTAGAGCAAAATAATGTAACTGGAGAAAATTCCTATACAAAACATTATTGGGTTTGCTGTGTGTTTTGTGTTACAAAAGGCAGAAAACCCTTTCATACCTTTTTAGTCTGATGGTATGGAAAAAGCAGTGGGATTCCTAAGAACAGCCTTTGCCTGCTGTGAGACACTGATTTCTTTCCAGCATTTATACCATTGTGTGCTCAAAAAAGGGGGGAAGAAAAGTTAAATTCAAGAAATTTGTAATTTTTACCTGGAGATTGATTTTCCTCAGAGTGAAAGCTAGTAGGTTGTAATGTGCTTTCTTAAGATATGCTGTGTCACAAGCCTTAAGTTGTGAAATATGTAATGTTCCTTGGCGACGTATGTTATATAACAAAGTTAATGTGTAATGTGACCTACCCAAGGCTGTCTGGTCATGAACTGGAAATAAAAAACAGACTTAACACTGTTACATTATGTGCATGGTTTTGGAATTTGGACTGTTCTTTCTCTTACAGGTCAAAGCAAGATAAGTAACTGAATTGAGAAATTGTCCATAAAATGTGTTGATAGAGCAGAAGAGGAAAAGATAAATAGATAAAAAGAGAAAGGATGTTTTAGTACACATGCAAAAATAGCAAAAATACTTTCATATAGTTTTCATCAAAATAGAGAAAGAAGTTCTAAAAGAAAGCACAATGTATTTTATCCTCTTTAGGGAAAAGTGGAACCAACATTTTGTCATTTCAAGGAGAGTGACTCCCATGATGTAATAAAGATCTTAGACACAAAAATGACATAATAATGCATGTAGGTATTTTCAGAATGGGACTATATTACTTGGTTTTGTTTATTATTATTTATTATTTTGATTATTAAGTATTAAATTTTTATGTCACCCCATACCCATAGATTACAGGGTGGTTCACAACATAAAATTACAAAAATTGTTTAACCTTGTTGTTGTTGTTGAGGTAGTAAAACCAGCAGCAACAACAGCTCTAAGATGTATCTAGAATGACACTAATCAAAATAGGTGCCATGGGGGAGGTGAGGAGCCGAGCGCCCCCCAAATTTTCAATGAGGATGCCACCCTACCCACCATCCCGATATTTTGCTGCCTGTGGCTGGCCTCCAATTAATCCCTCTCTCAAACATACATTCATTCACAGTGGCACCACAGCCAATTTTTTTCCTTACTATTTCTGAACTATCGTTTCAATATACATAAAGGCCTATTTGTGTCATAAAGAACTGATAAAACTCTCTGTTGACTCTGTCAGACTTCTTAATGAGAGAAGTGAAGCAATGCATTTTCGCTCTTGAATCTTCCAAAGAAATATGTAAATCTTAATACCATAAAGATATTGTTCATTTCTAGATAGAATTAATTTTGTTTTGTTTTTAATATGTTTTATTATGGCTTATTTCTTTCAGGCTTTGTAAGACCTATTTGGCCTTTCTTCTGATTCTTTACTTATGGAACTTATTTATTATCTTAAAGACCTTAATACTTTAATTCTTGGGTTTCTTTTCCTAATCCTATTATGTTTTCATTTTTATTTACTTAATAGTTTGCCTAGTTAAGCATATTCAGTCGTTTTATTATTCATAAATAAGAGAGTAAGCCTATGAATTCATTTTTTCTCCAGTGTTCTATACATAGCTGTCAACTTTCAGATTTGAAAATAAGGGATCAGCAGCCTCACCTGTCCCGGGGACAGTCTACGGGATATCTAACAATCCGGGATAGCAGCGGGAAACAGCGCTGGAATAAGGGAATTTCC